ATTGATTGATTAGTAAATCTTAATTACATATTTAATCACAAGATTAATTGATTGATTGATTTATTAAATATGCTTATATTGAATAAATATAATATTTATATTAATAATTACCTTTACTTAATTATGATTATAGTAATTAAGTGATTGATTTCTCAATTATAATTATATTCTTCAATTCATACATAATTTATACTTAATTAAATTTTGTAATTGACTAAAATTTTATCTTAACATTGATTAATTAATTAATTGATTATTAAATCATATATTTACACAATAATTTAATTAATTAGTAAATTATGATTAATTCATTCAATTACTTGATTACAATAATTATGATTATACTATTTAATTGATTTGTAAATTATGAAAATATTAAGTAATTGATTGGTAAATTATGATTATAGTGATTACTCGATTGGTTAATAAATTGTAATTATATGTTTTAATTGATTCAAAATTGCTTAATTAATTAAAAAATAAAATTAATTACGATGATTATAATTGCTTGATTTAGTATTCATATTAACATATTTAATTGCTAAGTTATAAGCTATGATTAATTTCTTCAATTAATTAATTACATAAATTATTTTATTCTATAATCTTGATTATATTATTTAATTGATTGGTAAATAATGATCATATTAATTATTTGATTCATTTCTAAATTATGAGTATATTGCAAATTGATTAATTATCATTATAGTGATTAAGTGATTGTTTAGTCAATTATGATTATTTTCTTTAATTGATAATTAAATTACATATAATTAGTATTGTTTAATTGATTAAAAATTTATAATTAAATAAATAAATTGATTAATTAGTACGGAAATTATATATATTTACACACTAATTTATTGATACGTAAACTATGATTAATTCATTCAATTACTTGATAATAAAATTATGATTTTACTATTTAATTGGTTTGTAAACTTTAAAGATTTTAATTAATATTTTTTTGATAAATTATGATTATATTGATTAGTTTATTGATTACTAAATTATAATTTTATGCTTTAATTGATTTAAAATTTGTTTGTTGATTAAGAAATATAATTATTTACAGTGATTATAATTACTTGATTTAGTATTCATATAACATATTTAATTGTTAATTAAGTAAACTTTAATTAATTTATTCAATTAATTAATTTTTATAATTTATTGATTATAAATTATTGATTATATTATTTTCTCGATTGATTAATAATGATCACATAAATTAGTTGATTTATTTATAAATTATGATTATATTGATTTAAATTAATATTACTTACTTGATTGATTAATTATGGTTTAGTGCTTAATTGAATGATTAGTCAATTATACTTAAATTATTTATTTAATTGATAATTAAATTATACTTAATTAAATTGTTTAATTGATTAAAACTTTATAATTACATTGATTAATTATTTGATTAGTAAATCATATATTTACACAATAATTTTTTTGATAAGTAAACTATAATTAATTCATTCAATTACTTGATTGCAATAATTATGATTATACTATTTAATTGATTTATAAATTATGAAGATATTCATTAATTGACTGATAAATTTTGATTATAGTGATAACTCGATTGTTTAATAAAGTACAATTATATGTTTTAATTGAATAAAAATTACTTTGTTGATACTATTTATTAAAATTTCTTTCAGTGACTATAATTGTTTGATTACTAAATTATAGTGTATTACAATGTTTATAATTGATTCATTAATATATCATAACTACATATTTATACTCCCTTAAACTATGATTAATTTAATTAATTACTTCAGAATAAAATTTTGATTTCATTATTTACTTGATTGATAAATATTAATTATTTTATTTAATTGATTGATATGTAACTTATTATTATTAAAAAAGATGTATTATTTATTGTGTGCGGAGATGAATTTTTTAATATAAATTTAAGGAAATATTTCACATGATGGGAGATCAAGGTTGGATGTATCATTGTTTAGATGATAATGGCTGTTATACAGATGAATTCAAAATTGGTGTGGAGTCATTCTTGGATTATGCATTTGCCTAGTCCAATCTAGAGTTATGTAGTAGAAATCGGATTGAGTGTCCCTGCAATAAATGTATGAACCAAGAATGGCATCGTCGTGTCACTGTGCACTGTCATTTGACAAAAAAGGGTTTTATGAACGGATATATAGTTTGGCTTGCACACGGAGAGCAGCCAATGCGAAGGCGACAACGTCATCAGTGGGGGGAATCCTCTAGTGCAGCTCCCTTTGTGATGGAAGAACAAGGTAATGATCCAATTAGAGATATGGTTATGGATGCAAATTTACATGGTATAGAATATAATATGAATGAACAAGCCAGTGTGGAGCCAATCTTTGAGGAGGCAATGGGTGATGCAAAGGAATTTTTTGATCTTTTACAAGCTGCTAACACGACACTTTATGATAGATGTGATGATGGTGATACAGTACTAAAATGGATGTCTAATTGGGATTATATGTTAAAGTGTACTAGGAGATGGATGAAGCCAGAGGATCGGGATAGAATTCCAAAAGATTTTTACAGTACTAAAAAGATGATGAGACGTTTCAGTCTGGGTTATAAGAAGTATGATGTGTGTGTGAATAACTGCTTCTTGTATTATGGTGAATTTGAAAACAAAAACTACATCGCATGTCCAATATGTGGTGAACCTCGTTATAAACAGGGACATGTGCAACAAAATCAACATATACCAAGGAAGTCATTGTGGTATCTCTCGATCACACCTAGACTCAAAAGGTTGTACATGTGTAGAAAAATTGCTGAACACATGATATGGCACTTGAATTATGGTGGTGTATCTGAAAAGATTGTGTATCCTGCCAGTGCTGAAGCATGGAAACACTTTGATCAGACCTACCCCGACATTGCATCAGATCCAAGGAATGTAAGGCTTGAATTGTGCACAAATGGTGCACAAATGGGTTCACTCCATTTGGACATACATCAGCCCCGTATTCATGTTGGCTTGTATTTTTGACTGTCTACAACTTACCTCCATCAATGTGTATGAAACCAGAGTCCATCTTTCTTTCTTTGATAATATAAGGTCCTCAAAGTCCTAGAAAAAACATTGATGTTATGCTACGGCCACTGATTGATGAATTAAAGGAAATTTGGTATAAAGGGGTGAAGACATATGATAGTTTTAGGCATGAACATTTTATTATGAAAGCAGCACTTATGTGAACAATTACTGACTTCCTTGGATATGGTATGTTATCTGGATGGAGCACACATGGTAGATTATCATGTCCGTATTGTCAGGAAAATTCTAAGGCATTCCACCTTCCAAATGGTTAAAGATATCATTCTTTGATTGTCACCAACAGTTTTTACCTCCCGATCATCCATGTAGGAGAAATAGGAATGATTTTAAAAAAGGCCATGTAGAGAATCGTGCTCCACCAGAGAGATTGTCGAGTGATGATATGCATCGACAAATTCAACAATTACCCGACATACTATTTGGGAACCCGACATACTATTTGGGAAACCATCACAAAGGCAAGTGATCGAAGGATTTGATCATTGGCATAACTGGGTTAAAAGGAGCATATTTTGGGAGCTTTCTTATTGGAGCACAAATTTAATCCGTCATAACCTTGATGTAATGCACTGCGAGAAAATTTTTTTTGATAATATCTTTCATACCGTCATGGATGACCCATTAACGAAGGACAACTTGAAGGCAAGGATGGATATGGAATTGTATTGTAATAGGCCAAGTCTTTGTATACCAAAAACAGGCTCTAATGCGGGTAGAAAACCGAATGCCACTTATGTCTTGAACAAGGAGCCAAGAAAAATCTATGTGTCAATGGATAGAGAATCTTAGATTTCCTGATGGTTTTGCATCCAACATCTCTCAGTGTGTGAATATGCAAGAGGCGAAAGTTAGTGGGATGAAGAGTCATGATTGTTACATATTCATGCAAAGTCTCCTTCCAATTACATTCCATGATTTTCTACCAAAGCAAGTTTGGGAAGCACTTACTAAGATCAGTCAGTTTTTTAAAGCTTTATGTTCTCCAACCATTCGAGTTACAGATATGGAGATTTGGCAAGGCAAGATTGTAGAAACAATATGCCAACTTGAAAGAATCTTTCCTCCTTCCTTTTTTGATTCGATGGAGCATCTAGCAATCCACCTTCCATATGAAGCCAAGGTGGGGGGACCAGTGCAATTTCATTGGATGTATCCATTTGAGAGGTATTATTCGAATAGTAAATTTTGTTTAATATTTTATATCCATATTATAAAAAATAATATGGTTTTAATATATTAATTATTTAATTTTATTTTTCATGAAATAGACGAATGCATGGATTGAAGAGTTTGGTAAAAAATAAAGCCTGCCCAGAAGGATCAATATGTGAGAATTATATAATTAGTGAGATCTCATACTTTATCTCACTTTATTTTCAAGGAGAAGTTGAGACAAGAGGTGATCGCATCCCCAGAAATCTTGTTGGCTTAGGCCCTTCTGTTAATAATGGCTTTTCCATTTTCAATAATCTTGGAAAACCAATTGGTTCTCTACAACAACAACGAGTGTTGACAGCGAAAGAGCGTAATGCTGCAATGTATTATGTATAATGAATTGTGAAGAATTGAAGGGATGGATTGAGTGAGTGCATTTCTCTAATCCTTATCCTTAACAACATTTGAGAAAGAAAATAATCTATTTTAATTTACACATAACTATAATGAATGTTTGATGCTTGATTAGGGTTTTTGAAGAGGAAGAATGTCAAAATATGACTCCCCAACAAATACAAATGAAACGTTCCAAATATCTTGTATCATGGTTTCAAAAATGGGTAAGTTTATTCAATTATTTTAGTTATTATTAATTAATTATTATATACTTATAACTAATAAAATAACTCATGTGATTTAGGTTTTACATGATGAGTTTGATGGCATTGATGAGCATTTGATTTGTTTGGCTCATGGCCCATCTTGGATGGTTTCATGCTATAAAGGCTTTTGGGTAAACAGTTTCCAATTTCACACGGCCTCATATGGAAGAAATAAGAGAACAATGAATAACGATAAGTGTATCACGGGAACCACCAAAACAGAATTAGATTTGGATTTTTATGGGTTATTGTAGGAAGTGATTGAGCTTCAATATGTTGGCTCCAGACATCGACAAACGATTGTTCTATTTAAATGTGACTGGTATGAAATTCCTCCTACACGAGGAATTGTAGTTGACTGAAAACATCATCTTGTTGATATTAATCCAAATCGAAAACTAAGAACTTATGAGCCCTTCATCTTGGCTAGTCAAGCTAAACAAGTGTATTACACTCCATATCCATCACATAATTCTAATAGGAAGGGATGACTTGCTGCATTGAAATGTAGGGCAAGAAGCATTATTGAGATGCCAGATGAGCAAGAATACCAACACGATAAGCAGAACCCATTTTTCAAGATGATGACCCTCTACCTCCCTAACCGACTGAAACCGATTTGATATTGTATCAACCTATTCAGCATACTGATGGGACTGCATCTACCATTAATGTCGAGTTTGAGTCTATGAATGATGACAGAGAATATGAGGAAGAGGATGAATTTGAAGATTATTCTACATCTGAGGAAGATAATATTGAATATATATCTTAGAGTGATAATAGTGATTAATTAATTAGTAATACATAGATACACTTTTATTATTGAGTAGTGTATGTGTGTGGTATTTTATAACACAATGGCTAATATATATTGTTGATTGATATAACAGAGAAATTAATTTGGTGATTATTATTATGGTTAGATATTGTCTTTAAATTTCATGTTTGATTTATTTTTATTTAAAGCTTAAATCTAATACTTTTTTTCATTTATATACTAATGTAATTTTATTTTGTATTTTTGTTGTAGTGAATTGCTTACTTGGATCATGTAGGGGTGACAAGGCTGTTAATGTTGCCACCCAAAGGCCAACCAGAAAAAATCAATCACAAGCAACTGGATCTTCTAGTACTATTGTCCAAGAGTCTCCAATGGAGACAACTAATAATGCCAGTGGCACTGATTCAAGTGCACCCTCGCCTCCTCAACCCAAAAAGGGGCGAGGTATTGCTAAAGGGCAAAAAATGCCAGAGGATCCAACCCAAAAGCTGAGCATAGGGAACTAGAATGGGAAAATATTACCTAAACAAGTCCGAAAGGATATTTCAATAATTCTTAAGTCCAATATGCGAGATGCATATATAGGTTGGGCCTCAATATCGCGTGAGCACAAGGATGTGTATTGGCAAGATTTTCGGATTTGTAGTTTTATTGAATAAATTGCAATATGTTTCTATTTATATATGTGCAATTTTTTCTGTGCGTCAATTAATACATGAATACATGATACCAATGTTTTTTGATTTTTCAAAATAAATATGAGTGAGACCCTGCTCATGAGGATGCTATTCATACAACATTTCTACGAGTATGTGAAAAAAGATTTAACTAGATGATGACTGGTATTCAAACCTCATGCAGAAAGAAGAATTTTATTGAAAAAAAACTATACATGTCTGATGAAGTTTGGGAGAAGTTAAATTACAAATGGACGGAGGACCCTCAGTTCAACGTGCGTAGAGAGCAAGCCAAGGCAAATCGAGCAAAGGGCCCTAAGGTAACCCACATGGGTGGATCTATGGATTACGATGACTTTGTGAGAAAATTGGTAAAAATTTTACATATAAGTGTTAGATTCCATCCCATATTGATTATAATAATCTTATTGTTAACTATAATGTTTGTGTGAATTAACACAATAATTAAATATGTGATCTTGCAGAAGGAAAAAGATCCAAAACATAGGGATCCATCATTTGTTGATGTGATCCGTGCCAAAAAAATGCATCATCCAAAGGAAAAAGATAAAATGCCAACATATATTGATGAGCAGACTCAAGAGTATACTGTAAGTATTCTTTCTAGTTTATAAGGAACTGTGGAAATTTAAATGCTTATAATATGAGATTGATAATTATATTAAGTCTCCAATGAAGATTAAGTAATTTTTTTGACAGTTTCTTATTTTGGTTTATCTTGTTTTGGTTGATTGTATTTTTATATATATATTGTGTACATGGGGAAAATACAAACTTTAGGGGAAACTCTGTCGAATTTTTGTAAAATTTATAATGAATTGTGGAAATTTAAATACTTATAATATGGTATTGATAATTATATTAAGTTTCCAATGAAGATTAAGTAATTTTTTTGACAGTTTCTTCTTTTGGTTTATCTTGTTTTGGTTGATTGTATTTTTATATATATTTTGTGTACAAGGGAAAAATACAAAATTTAGGGGAAACTCTGTCGAATTTTCGTAAAATTTATAATGAATTGTGAAAATTTAAATATTTATAATATGGTATTGATAGTTATATTAAGTCTCAAATGAAGATTAGGTAATTTTTTGACAATTTCTTATTTTGGTTTATCTTGTTTTGGTTGATTATATTTTTATATATATTTTGTGTACAGAGGGAAAATACAAATTTTATGGGAAACTTTGTCAAATTTTTTTAAAATTTATAATGAATTGTGGAAATTTAAATACTTATAATATGGTATTGATAATTATATTAAGTCTCCAATAAAGATTAAATAATTTTTTTGACAGTTTCTTATTTTGGTTTATCTTGTTTTGGTTGATTGTATTTTTATATATATTTTGTGTACAGAGGAAAAATACAAAATTTAGGAGAAACTCTGTCGAATTTTTTTAAAATTTATAATGAATTGTGAAAATTTAAATACTTATAATATGGTATTGATAATTATATTAAGTTTCCAATGAAGATTAAGTAATTTTTTTGACAGTTTCTTATTTTGGTTTATCTTATTTTGGTTGATTGTATTTTTATATATATTTTGTGTACAGGGGAAAAATACAAATTTTAGGGGAGACTCTATCGAATTTTTGTAAAATTTATAATGAATTGTGGAAATTTAAATACTTATAATATGGTATTGGTAATTATATTAAGTCTCCAATGAAGATTAAGTAATTTTTTGACAGTTTCTTATTTTGGGTTATCTTGTTTTGGTTGATTGTATTTTTATATATATTTTGTGTACAGGGGAAAATACAAATTTTAAAGGAAACTCTGTCGAATTTTTTTAAAATTTATAAAGAATTGTGGAAATTTAAATACTTATAATATGGTATTAATAATTATATTAAATCTCCAATGAAAATTAAGTAATTTTTTTAACAGTTTCTTATTTTGGTTGATTGTATTTTTATATATTTTTTGTGTACAGGGGGAAAATACAAATTTGAAGGGAAATTCTGTCGAATTTTTTTAAAATTTATAATGAATTATGAAAATTTATTCAATATAATATAGTATTGATAATTATATTAAGTCTTTAATGAATTAATTACTTGGTTTGACAGTTTCTTGTTTTGGTTAATTTAATTACAATTGCGTAGCCTATTTTTTTTCATTTTTATTCTTATTAAAAAATGAATTTAAAATAAGGGTATCATATTAATTGGGAAATCGGGATAACTTGAAATGTTCTCTATTTATTTATCTAAGTGGAATTAGAGATTGCATTTTAATTTCATTCAATATCATAACTGTAAATATATATTGGTGAATGTAATTCTATACATTGTCCAATATGGGGAAGCTACAGTGTTTAGGGGAAATTCTGCCTAATTTTTTTAAAATTTATAATGAATTGTGAAATTTTAATTAATTTAATTATGATATTTATAATTATATTGAATATTATAGTTGCAAGTATATAGTTGAGTATATAATATTTTTAAATTTTATTAAATGATATAGTATATGATATGATATATTGCAGGAAAGATTAAATGCAAAGGCCATTCAGAAATATGGAGAGGATACAACTACATGGCCAACAACAGTTGACGTCCAGCTCTTGTCCCAAGTTTCGGGTGGGCGACTTTATGGCATGCCTATATACATGGATCCTGAGGAGCAAGGGCTCTCACACCACAAGCGTCCGCCGCATCCCATACTTGATAATTCTGTTCAGTCATCCCAACAAGTGGTTCAATTGCAACAGACTATAACAGAATTACAAGATAATCAACTGCTATTACAAGAGAAGGTTGAGAGGATGAAGAGAATGTTTTTTTATGATGCAGGCAGGGATGCAAGGAGGAATGCATGGAGGGATGCAGGGATGGATGGATGGAGGGATGCAGGGATGGATGCAAGGAGATGGAGGGGCTGGGACAAGTGGGGGAGCATAATTAGCATTGTTTTCACTCAGTTGATCTTTATATCAAAACATCTTCTATTATTATATATGAAATAGACATGTATGAGATAGGGGCATAGTGCTGTAATTAGCTAGTATTTTAGATTAAAACACTTTAATTATGATATTAGGTTGTGTTTTATAATTATGTGTTTTTAGATAAAGTTTTCAATTATATATTTTAATTTACATTTAAAACATATGGGTAATTAATTGGCATAGTTTTTTATATTAAGTTATTTATAAAATTTAGATAAAAAAGTTTGAAACAAATTAACTAAAAAAAAGGAAACGTTAACAAGTAGGAAATAGAATAACAATTAGGGGACTTAATTAACCTATTTGAAACAAACAAATTAAATTATTTGTCATAGTAATTAATTCGGTCAAATTGTGTGACCAAAAAAATCAATGAATTAGTTTGGTCAAATTAATTGACCGAACTAGGGCTATTATTTTGGTCAATTTAATTGACCGAAATAAGTTGGCTAATAGCAACCGAACCACCATTGCACAATTTGAGGGGAGCACACTATGTACATTTATTTCGGTAAATACACTTGATCGAAATAACATGCACAGTACCACCAACCCTCTTCTGCTCAAGTATCTATGGAAATATATTTCGGTCAAGTTTATTGACCGAAATAAGTTGGCCAGTAGCAACCCGAACCACCATTGCACAATTTGAAGGGAGCACACTATGTACATTTATTTTGGTCAATATACTTGACTGAAATAACATGCACAGTACCACCAGCCCTTTTCTGCTTGAGTATCTATGGAGATATATTTCGGTCAAGTTTATTGACCGAAATAATATGACTAGTGATCGACCCCCTTACCCCTTTCAGCCTTTTCATGAGTGGGGGCACTATTATTGCCCATATTACTTCAGTCAAAATTATTGACCGAATAAATAAGAGAAAAAATCTAAACCAGTCTAGCATACATATGGTACGGTTGTCAGTTTGATTTGTTCAGTCAAGTTAGTTGACTGAAATAATTGGTAAATTTTTTTTTTTTTTATTTAAACTGTTTTGGTCAAAAGTTCTGATATGCCGAAAATTTTCAGTTCTGTGATGATGGTGATTTATAGATTTGAAATCAGATTCTCCTCTTTCTAATGCATTTCTGATTTTCTTTGTAGTTGAAATAAGTATATATTTTCAACTTTCTCACAAACTCCACTTCTTCATACTTATATAGTTTTTTTTACAGTTTCTCCATAATTCTTTGGGTGAAACCAAAGACTAATTAAGAGTTGCTGCTACTTGCTGTGGCGTTAATTTAGTTGTTTTTGGGACTTTTGAGTTAAGAAAGGTATGAGTACTACAATCTTCCTCCTTTTTTCTTTTTTCGTTCTTTTAGTTGACATTTTTTTAATGAATTTTTGCCATCAATTTAATTTTAAATACAATTTTGATGGATTAATCAATTGTGTTTCACCACCTTGTGTCTCGATCTATTATTCTATCCTGTTAATTTGGGTTGATGTTAGTTAAATTTTATGTTTTTATTTTTAAAAAATATAATTTATTAAAAGTCACAAGAATTTTAATGTATTTAAATGTCTTATTTGTTATTGTATCATAATTTTCATTTTCATTATTATGGTTTTTACATATTTGTGAGTGATTAATTGATTTTATTTAGACTTAAGAATCGTGGTATAAATTTGTCGTTTCCGGTGTATCTATCCCACTCAAATAAGTAATTTCTCCTTCATTTTTATGAAATAAAAGTATGCCAAACTACATTAGAGTAGATGTATAAATTTTTTCCTTTATATATTTTTTAGAAATTTAGTTTAGAAAGAAATAAAAAAAAAATTTATGATTAGTAGTTGGTAATGTATGATTAAATAAATCAAATTAATTTTCATGAAATAATGATTTATTATGCAATTGATTGATGACTTTTAGTAATTAATTGATTGATTCAAGTATGTAGTGATTATAGTATTTTGTTGTGAAGTAAACTACAATTTATTAAATTATTTGATTGCTAAAAAAGGATAATTATAATTGATTGATTAATAATTCATAATTATATATTTAATTGCTAAGTAAATTATGATCAATTTAATAACTTAATCAATTAAAAAATTATGATATAATTATTTACTTGAATGATAAATAAGTATCATCATAATATTTAATTAATTTATTATAAAATTACTATATGCTAAATGTATAGTTAACATTACTTTTATAGCAAAATGGATAGTCAAGATTGCTTTGATAGCCAGATGGACAGTCAACCATATTTTGACAATCAAATAGACAATCAGCTATACTTTGACAGTCAAATGGATAGTCAACCATACTTTGATAGCCAATATGATGGTATAGTTTCTTTTTCCTTTTCCCTCTCATAATTTTTTATTTCATGTTGCTGCATATTATTTACTAACAAATTAATTAAGTTAATGTTAATTTACATAGGAATTGTTGAAGATACTCCTGAAGCATTATGGGATTGTCCATCTCGAAGTTCTCCAAGGAAGAAGTTGATAAATGCAAGGAATCATATAGCAATGCCTCAAGACATTCCATTGCCTAAAAATGAAGACAACATTATTTGCCAAATATGTGATATTCTTGGACATTTAGCTACCATATGCCCACATCGATATGCAGTAACTTGTCAATTGTGTAACCGTGAGGGTCATGCTGCAAAGATTTGCCCAAATCGTTACCGATCAGAAATCATGTCAAACCCATCCAAAACACCTGCTGAATCCTCTGAAAATGTTACAAAGATCTTAGGTAATGGTCATTTGCGTCTAACATTTTCAAAAAAATCTTCGGATGTGGCATGCAAAAAAGTACGTTCCATTCAAGAACTGTAGTATCTTTACCAAACTTACCTATATTTTGTAATATATTTTCTAATTTGCCTTATCTATGTATGAGAGTAGGATCAGACATAGCACTTTAATTAGTATTTTATATCATGACACTTTAATTATAATATTAAGTTATCTTTTATATTTATGTATTTCAATTACATATTTTAATATATGTTTAGAATTGAATATAGACCATTATAATTGTTAAAAATTTTATCTAAAAAAGTTTTAAACAAATTAAGTAAAAAAAGAAAACTTAACAAAAGCAGAAACAATAAAGAATAAGTGGGAGACTTAACAACCTATTTCGGTCAAAACATTTGACCGAAATAGGCAAAATCCCAACAAAAATGTAATATACATTTCGGTCAAGTAAATTGACCAAAAAATGGCAACATAATATCCCACGCCCTAGTCAACAATTGATCTTAAATTTAGTAAAATGATTAATTCGGTCAAAATGATTAACCGAAATAAGGGAAAAAAAAAAAAATCAAAATAGGATTCCACTGGAAAATTTTGGGAAAATTTTGAAATTCCCTCTACATAAATTTGATCATATATTCTGACCGAATTAGAAAGATATTCCTGCTAGTTTATTTGCGGGAAAGTGTTTGAAAATTTTGAGTCATTTATTTTGGTCAATATACTTGACCGAAATATGCCATGCCCATTTACAAATATCATGGCTCACTCTTATCATTTGTTATCAATCTTCTATTCGTTTCTTTCTTTTCTTCTTCTTCAAATTCAACACTTTTCTCAATCTTTTAGTTCTCATAATTATAGTTAATTTTCTTTTATTTTTCATTAAATCTTATTTATTAGTTATTAATTAATACTTACTTTTAATTTTTTTTTCTTCCAATATATTTATATTCTTTAGTTTTTTTCCTTTATATTATGTTATATTATTACCTATTTTCTTTACCAATTCTCCTTTTACCTCTATTTTTCTTTATCAATTCTTCTTTACCTCTATTTTCTTTAATTATCTAAATTTTATTATCTTATATATATTTTTAATTATCTTATATTACTAACTAATTATTTGAATTTTTTTTCTCTAAAGGTTTGTTGATTTGGTGAAGAGTGGGGTAGCATTATTGAGGTAATTAACTTAATTACCTTGTTTATATTCATATATATCTTGTTTAATTATTTCTTTCATTTTTATTCATTTTACATGCTTTAATTTGTGATTGTTTTATTTATTTAGCATTCTATTTCTGGATGCTTCTTTTTACAAATGTAAAATATTTGTTAATTGTTTTCATTTTCTTATATATATGCAAATTGAATCATATTTAGTAATGTATAATTATTCTCATAATTAAAATATCATAAAAGG